TCTACTCAACAGCTCAGGGTGGGCATAGTTTGTGGAAACAACCGGGCGCTCGCCACCTTCGGGTTTTCCAGGGGTGCTTCAATTGTTTCGGTTCAGCGGGCCGCTTTTAGGGAACCCTTTCGAGATGGATGGTGGTTCCCAACATCAAGATTCATTCTTCTGGCTCCTCCCGGGAACTCAGAGTTCGGAAACTCATTTTCGTGCTTTCCGGCTGTGGGCCAAGCGTGCCCAACCCCCAAACCACCAACCCAGGCCACCAAGCAGAGGCAGCTGAACTAAAACGAAAATAATCCCAGGGGTTCTTGTGCTCGTGTTTGATGCGCTTCACTTTCACTTCAACGGGCCCAAACTAAAAAAGAGCTGCCATGTCAAAATAAGAAATATGCGGCACAACCACACACACATACCATACTCAACCACAAGAGCCTGTAAGTCACGGTAAGTTAGACAATCGGTTTCCTTGTTGCCCTATTTGCAATATGAAGTGTTTTTGAGTATACCCCTGTTGGAGTGGCTCGAAAGAGAAACCCAAAGGAGACTCGGGTTTGCTAGCCTTGACGTAGCTTTCGGGGACGAAGCAAGAACAGCTCGCTAACAACTAGGGAGTCCCCTCAAAAAAGTCAGACGCACCCATGCGGGCGTGAATCCCCAAAACAGGGGGCGCAGGGTTCGGGGGAGCCCTTTTCCTTTTGCGTTTCCCTTCAGAATCATCGCAAAAAGGGTACTCTCAAAAAACACACCCATATGTCTTATATTAGGCTGCCTTTGTGGTTTTAAAGGGAAGCCACAAGGAGACCCGACCCACATTTTTATTGTGAGGGGGGTGGGGGGGGGGGGGGTTTTACCAAAAATCACCCATAGACTGCACAGGTCTTCTTCTTTGTCTTCTTATTGGCTGGCTTCATCCACTTGGTCTCCACGGGGGAAGTCTCGGGCCTGGGCCGGGAGCGGCATTTGTCGCTCTCCACAGGCCAGGTTTGGATGCTGGGCGAAAGGGATTTATTTCCGCGCGACGTGGTGCGCTTTTTTTGTTTTGGAGGGGTACCTCGGTTTTTTTTGGGCGCTGGGCGGTGGGTCCCTTGCTATGGCGGTGGGTCTTTTTTTTTCTCCTCGTCCCTGTTTCCCCATCCAGCTTTCTTTGCAAGAGAGTGGATGGGATGGGGAAGCAAGGAGAGGAAGAGCATCTTCCCAAGAAGTAGGGCACGCAAGGTTCAGAGAGGGGTCTCTAGATTTCCCTCAGCTGGTTCAGTCCTTACCTCTGGAGCCACTTTTAGATGAGTTTCCTCCTGGAGGGATGCTTCTGTTCAGGAATCAGAGCAGCCAGCGGAGATTTGGGTTAAACCCCCAGCAAACCGCAGATTTTAGTCCATGTTTCCATTTACCAGGGTTCCATTTTGGGTACACATTTTGACCCAGAGCCATTCAACTTTCAACGGATCAACGAACCAAGGATGTGCATCGCCTACGCCTTCCTGGCCTTTTGGCTCCTAGCGTACGTCAGCGCGGTCTACCAGCGCTGCGGCAGCGGAAGTTTGTGTTTAGTCGTGTTTGGGGAATTTGCGGCTATGTCCTTAAACATAATAAACAAAACATCTGGCATTTGTTTGTGTTGGTGTTTTGTTGAGTTTAATGTTCTTCCAGGCTTTTCTTGCTCTCTGGGGTGTGGCTGTCCTCACAAATTGCATTTGTCATTGCTTTTTGCGCCCTTTCCGGGCGTTTCTCCTTACTTTTTGAAGGCGGGGGAAGGCGGGTGATTTCCCCGATGTTCTTCTCGTTTGTCGGTGCCATTTTTGGTTCGAAGGGAAGCCGGAGGAAAGCCTCGGCTCGGCTTTTCTGGGCTTCCTCTTTTGGACAGAACACGCAAAAAGAAGCACTCGGTGATCGCAATGACTTCGGCGTGCGCCGTTACTCGGACACAGCCCAAATGAGATGATCAAAGCCCGGATTGGAGGGTAAGGGACAACTCCAGCCATACATGTGCCCCTCAGCCGCCTCTTTTCATGAAGCATGGTTCTGGGGATCGACGATTTGAATTCCGATGGGGTTTCGATTTTGACTCAACTGGCTTTCAGACCATGAACCAAAGATTCAGGGTTCGAGGGTTGGGTTCGGGGGGAACCCCGGCTCCGAGCCGGAGGGGCAAACTTATTACCGCCCCCTATTGCCGCGAGATAGAAACCCGAGAGCTGATTGCTGTTGGAAAGTTCGCGATCAGACTCCTTCTAACACTGTTCCTGCTGCACTTTTCCTCGTTTGCGCGCGCGGCGATGAAAGTTTGGTCGAAGGACGGTTCAAGGGCACTATGGCGGCAACTGATGAGTTGGACGATCTTTCTTTGGGGCAGGTAACCCCCGCATCATTGCCTTGGAACCCCTGATTCTTGTTGGAGTAAAGGGAAGCTGATTTGGATGGTATTGAAGGGACACCAAAAGGACTACTCTAGGACAGTTGGGGTTCATGAGAGACTTCCAGTTGCTTCAAATTGAAGAGCCTGGGGTTGTCTCATCGGGAAAGCCCGCAAATCAGAAGACGTGAGGACCCAACCCCACGGAAGATTTTCACACCCGAACGCCCAAGGTTCCTTGCGGAGCTTTCTTTGCCGCGGACCTTTGGACCCACTCCTGTTTTTGGAAGCGCAAGTAGACCCCAACCAAATCGGAAACACGATCCCAAATCAGGAACCCTTCAGCAAATTGGGAAGTGCACCAACAAAGTCGGGGGACTCCTCAAGTCTTTCGCGGCCAACGCGCTCGGATCGGCTTCAATGCTCGTCGGTGCTGCGTTTTTGCTTCAGGTTTTCCATCGCCTACGCCACGGCGAAATGGTTCTGTGCGCCGAGAGATGCCAAGGGAAAGAAGGAGCGGGGCTCCGAAGTCCACGTGCTCAGGTGGGGAAATGCGGAGTCCTGGCCGGACTGCCTCTTGAGAGGGAAATCAAGAGGACCCCCCACCAGCAAATGCACGGCAAGGAAATGAAAAGAAGACATGACTGAATAAAACTGGACAAAAACCAGTGAGGAACGGTGGAACAAGACCGTGGGGTTGTCCCAGTTTTCCCGTTGGCGTGGCAAATCTGCGGTGTCTTCTCGGCAGCTGCAGAGCCAAGATCTGCCAGCACAAGTGCAGGGAGCCAATGCTATCCCCTACCGTGTTGATCGAATGTCCAAGTCCAAAAGCACTTCAGAGGCGAAGGGATCCCTAGTACTGTATGGAAGAGGGTGTGAGTACTGGGCCTGAAGAGTTGACACGACTTAATCTTCTTCCTTTGGGGGGAAGGGAAACTGCAACGCTGTATGGATCTAATGATGTTTTTTATGATTCTTCTTAGGGATCCTTCCGGAAAAAGGAAGAAGCAAAATGTCGTTTTCTTTTTCTTTGAAGATTGGTTGACAAGAAGGGACCAGGAAGCAACCCTGCAACTGGGGGCCGGCGTTTTGAAAAAATGGTTGACAAGACTGGACAAGGAAACAATCCTTGAAATGGGGGAGGGGTAAAAGCAACCCGCGATTTTCATGCCATTGGGTGTGGGTACCCACGTACCCGAATGAATGCCCCCTTGGGTGCTAAGGGACCTAGACAGGGATTGTTTGAAGCTGGAATCAACGGTTCCACTTTGGGTAGCCGCCAGTTTTTTAGGGGACCCCAAAAAATGCGGTGGTTTCCTTAAACACTAGCAAAACTTGGGTACCCTGCAAAACAGACACTCCCCATTTGGGTGGCTCAAACCTTGTTGTCCGAACTCGTTCTGAGTATCTGTGTTCCCCCCAACATGGGCGGTTGGAATCCCTGCTTGATTCTTTTTGAAATAGGCGAACGGACATTTCTGCTTTCGGGGCTGCCAAAGCACATCTGAGCTTTTGGGCGGTAAAGAACACAATGTTTCCCTTTGGGGATGGTCAACACCTCTAATGTTGTCCTGTTTCTTGATTCGCACATATTCATCTTCCGTTTCTTTTGTGTGGCAAACGGCTATGTTCCTTGTTTGTGTCATTAAACTCAATGTTTTGGGTGGAAGAGTTTGCCTTTGTGACAAGGAGTTTTGATGGCTGCAACACGCTCAGAAATGGTTGGTGGACATCCGCAATACATATTGTTTGGCCGTCAAAACACATGTTCCCCTTTTGAGTGGTTAACACCATTGCTCCCCTTTTTGGAGATAAGAGCACATTGTTTTGCTGGATTGTCCTTTGCGAATCCAGGCATTCAGCAGAAGGGTTCCCAAATGGATTGTCTACGAGGCCCCCCCCCCCATGATTCATATATGGGGTCCCGGCCCCTTCTCCCCGCAGATTTCCTTGGAGGTTGATAGCAGGGGTGGGATCCAACGGTTTTTAGACCCATTGGGTAGGATTCGTCAAAATAGGGGGATGGCATCGATTTCCTTTTGGCTCTCCACTGGCCTCTCGGAGGACGTGGACCAGTGTGCCGTCATCGAAGGGGTCCGCGTCGGCATGTGGTGCCCCGGGCAAATTGCGTGGTAGAGGATATCAGCTTGTTTGAATCAATGAACAAAACAAGAGGTTGTTTGAACCATCGGCGAGTTTGCCTCAAAATTCTGTGGATGTTTGTGGAATGCGTTCGAACCACGAAATGAACCTATGGTTGAAACCATGGTTTCTTGGTATTTAGTTCCAAGGTTTCGTAGGTGGTGCAGGATTTCGTCCACCCACTGTAGGGCCCCCTACATTGGTTGCTTTTCTTCTCCGATTTCTCTTTCAACTGACCGGAAAATAGCTTGAGCAAATACCGCCCATCTTTGAAAATTGAGAGTCAGTTTACCCCCCTCCTCTTCCTACTCCTGCCTTCCTCCCCCTCCTCCCTCCTCTTTTGCAATCAAGCATCATTAAACCATACTTCTCATATCAACAAGACCAACCTCTCCCCCCCTCCCCCTGTTTTTCCTGCTCCTTCCTTTTGCTCCTTACCACCCACCGGGGAGCTCAACTCCTCCCCCCCACCCCTGCCTCTCCGCCTCTCCGCCTCTCCCCCGCCGTCTTTGAGGTACCACACCGGGTCTTTGGCCTTCGGCTCCGCGCTGATCGCCTTCCTGGAGCTGCTGCAGCGAGTCCTGGAGTGGGCCGAGAAGAAGAGCCCCTCGGAAGCTGCGAATGGCGCGTGGCGCGAAGCTCGACGAATGGGGAAGATGCGAGTTCGACGAGGGTACAAACGCTGGGGCGCAGCCGTATGGTGCTGTTTGGGATTTCCCAAGGGGCCCCCATCCATCTCTGCACCAATCTGGGTGACAAGCAAGCGAGCATCCCATGATATTTGCCCTTTACCGGCGGATGGTGTAGAAGTTGAATCTCTCCGTGGCGACGAAATGTTCGCTAAATTGACTAATATGTCTGTATCTGAAGCTTATCCTGCAAGAAACACCCTGATTCTTGAGCTTACGTGCGTCCATTTGAACAAATTGTGAGCTGATTCTGTGGAAGTCTTAGTCCCCTTCTCAGCTCAAAGCCATTTGGGTCTTCGATGTCTCCTTGATCAGGTTCGGCTATAGTCCTTAGGTCAGTTTGTTTGAGAAATTCCATGGGGTCCACTGCCAGTGTCATGCGCATAGGTGTGCTTTTTAGGTTAGTTTTTTTTTTTTTTTGAAAATAGAAGGCACTGGTTTAGATGGGTTTTATTCCATTTACCAGGGCCATCTATTTTCCCAAAAAGGACACCTATGGTCATGCGTCCTTTTGCGTCCTTTTTTGGCGCCCAGCGCAGTTTTTGGGGCGCAACTGCTTGGTCCTTAGGCATGATGGAGGGCGAGATCAACCAGGCCGCCAGCCGTCCAGGGCGTGTTTGGCGGGGTGGGTCAAGACCGTTTTGGGATCCCATTTTGGGGTGGGATTGGGACGTTCACTGGGGGTACTGGATTTTGACCCATGGCAGTTTGAGACCTGCAAGATGTTTTGCTGCGCGGCTACATGATCACACACACACATGTTTGTCCTGTTGAGGGGATTCGGGTTACTTGATCAAGAGCCCATGCCAAGATGAACACCTGAAGGACACTGTCAACAAGGGCCATCATGACACGGGTGACCCTGCCCCACCTACATGTTTCACGTCCCTCTCCAGAAACAAGTTCTCCTGACCGTGGGGATACAAGCTGCAACTTGTCCCACCAGTTTGGAGCTTGTTTGATCAAGGCCCCGCCAATTTGCGTGTTTTGTTCATGCTAGACTTTGGGTGAGTTTCGGAACATGTTTTCGCGGGAAGCGATTTTGGAGGTGATTTTACCCTCAAGGACTGTGGATGGGTGACATCCATGCCGATCGGCACCATTTGGAATGGATGAAACTCGATTTGAGTTCTGGTTGATGTCGTCTCCTCTCGGCTGCCGGATTTTCATCCAACAGTTGTTTGCGCAATAAAAACACTCGCCTGCAACGGGGGTTTTTCAGGAGTCAAACGTGGGTTGGAATCAGATTCCTCAGCCCCAAGCCATCTCCGGACTTGCAGGTCACAGCCTGCATCGTGAAGACGTTGCTCTGCTGCTGCAAGTGCGTGGAAGGTATTATTGCATTTGTGAATCCTGGCGGAGGGGCCGAGGGCTGGTTAAAGACCCGGCCCCGGGTTTTGGGGCCAAGGGATGGTTTCAGTTTTGAAGGCTGGGTTGGCAGATGAATCCTGGCTGAGGGCTCCTCAGTTTGTTTCAAGGCCAGGCTTGCCAGGTTGTAGTTGGACTGCTTTTGGCGGGTTAGTCAGAGCTTGGGGGGCTGTTTTTCTGGCCTACAGTAGCTGGGTCAGGGTTGGGGAAGGTAACTCACGATTTCCCAGCAAGCAGAAACATGAATGCCACCTTCCGCAAACAGGAAAGTGGTTTCAATCATTATAATATATCTGAGTTACAACATCAAAACTTGAAGTGGCTAAAGCCGCGGATTCAGAACAGAAGGGCGGCCCTTGATCTCTGGCAAGGGGACTGTCCTTAACCTTTTACCCGAACCGATGGGCTTTCGAAACTTGCGAGCCTGGAGGGTTTAGGAGGTCAGTTTGAACATCGACCTTTAGAAACATGGTTTCAATCTGGCTTTCGCTGGTTCACTTGGTTTAGCTTGGCTTTCACTGGTAACTTGCTCTTTCTTGCCCCAGGTTCAGTTGGCTGGGTCGTCGATTTATGCCCCAAGCTCTGGGGTGGTTCCTTTTGAGCTGCTTTGGATCCTGGCGATTCGGTTCCATTCGGGGCTATGCAGATACTGGGGTCATCTGTTTGGCACTTCTGTGGTCAGACATTGGGGTTTCCGAGATTTGTTGTTCGCCTTGCCCGTAGGTGTCCTTGGGTTCGGTTGCTTGCAAATCGATGGGTTCCACTGGTTCCATTTTCGTTTCAATCATTTACTAGAGCCGTCAATTTGTCCAGAAGCACAGATGTCGAGGCGCCGCGTTCTTTGGTGAGCTTATAGGAACAACAGGTTCTTTCGTCGATTTTGGGATGTTTTTTCCAATTTTTTCGGGCTACGCACTCAGTTTTCCCAGCGAATCCGGCCATATTTTTCTTTTTTTTCCTCTGGGGGGGGGGTTGAAGGAAACTGTGCTCTGTCCGCATTTTTCGGGCCAGAACTTCGTCATCTCCACTGTATTTGGCGTGAGCTGAAGAATCAGTCTTCGTTCTGCTTTGTTTCCCTCCATTCCTCAATCCCTGTTTTGGTCCAAGTATCTTTTAGCTGGGACCACAACAATGTGTGGGTGTTCCTGGTTTTTCCTCAAAGGGGGTTCCAACTCTAAAAAAGGGACCCCCCCCATTCGGCCGAGGAACAAGAACGTGTACATCGACATCGCACTGACCTCCAAGACTTTCTGTGCTGCCCTGAAGAGCATCGCGCACATCGTGATCGCGCCCTGGCCGATAAAAGCCGAATCAACGGCCTGGTTTCTGGCTTTTCTTCTCGGAACCAAAAAGGTCGCTGGGGTCTGCAAGCAGGAAGGAGGTGTTCTCTTAGGATAGGCCCGGGTCTGCCTTTTTTGGAGGGCATCCCTTTTGGTTTGACAGGGAAGCCCAAAAGAAACCCATCATTGTGGGGCGCACCGATTTTGAGGCAGCCCCTTTTTTGAAACAGGTGAACCTTTGATTTTCGGTGCACCCTTCTTTTGCGGGGCACAGTTTCGAGTCTTTCGTTTTTTTTGGGAGGCAAACGAACGGGTAAGAAGAAGTCACTGAAGGGGCTGGGAATTCTCTGGTGGAAACGGTTTCAACAACCTGGCTGGACACCACCTAGCTGGTGGTTGGAAGGGATCCAAGGAGCCAGAGGTATCCATGTTTGCTTTTACGTAGGGAGCGGTTCAGGAGCCTTTGCGATCGGAGTTCTGATTAAGGACATGGTGCCACCTTTTTGGTTTTTGGTGCCCCCATGCAGTGTGGGGTGTTTTGCGGGTGCCCTTTTCACAGGCACGAAAAACCAACTTTTGGGAAAGCGCCCAGAAGCACTTTTTGACCAATCGATCATGGGAACGTTGTTTGACAGTGGAAGGGGAAATGGTCAAACAACGGGTTGAAGGTTGGACAGTTGAAGCTTGACAAAATCTGGCGGCAGAATCCGCGTTATTTCTTCGTGTGCCCCCAAAGCTAAGCCAAGGTTCATCAGGGTGGCACTTAATTGGTGGGTTGGTTGGGTGGTTTGCTATTCTGTTTTTTGGAGTATTCTGGGGAAAACACAGTAATTCTGCCGAAACCAACACATGTTGATGAACACAGATGAAAAGAAAAGCACACACACACACATGTAGACTGATTTTAAATTTGTCTCACCTGTTGCTATGAATGCACCCACATGAACCAACTGAAGGCTGGCATGTTATAAGATGAAATGAGTCACTTGTGTTTGAATGTTTGCGAATGGACTCCCCGCTGAACTTCATTCCCAGGATTGTTGGAAAAAGGTGACGTCCCCAGAAAAGCAGGGTGTTTTAGAGGATGCATCAAAAAGCGACCTGCAAATTCGGATTTGGATCCTGAGCAGCTTCGTCCGGGGTTGTTGCACAGGTTAATGTTGACCCCGGATTAATCACCCCTTCTGTTTGACGTTCAGAGATGTGGCACCCCCCACTCCCCTATGAAAAGAAGCGGTGCTTAGATCCGAAATCAACTCCAAGAAGGACTTCTGGCTTCCACTCCCCCAAAAAAAGTGTTCCACCCTCCACAAAAAAAAGTACCAAAAAACCGTCGGCTCCACAAAGATTTCTCGTTTTCCCGAGCCCCGGGTCCCGGGTTCGGGGGCAAGCCAAGTGACTCGTGCCCCTGTTGCGGGACTTGGACCTCCAAAGTGGTTTCGCAGCGGTTTTCCATTGATTTCCCTTTGAGCCACCCAAAACAGTTGTGTGTTTTTTGGTTTGCCTGGTGGTTTCCTGTATTTTTTTTTGGTTCCCTTTAGCTTTGTGGCGTCTTGTTTGTTGGTTTCTCTTTTTGCTTTCTTTCTTTCTTTCTTTCTTTCTTTCTTTGGTTCTTTCTTTCTTTCTTTCTTTCTTTCTTTCTTTCTTTCTTTCTTTCTTTCTGTCTTTCTTTCTTTCTTTCTTTCTCATTTCTTTCTTCATTGCTTTTTCTTGTTGTTTTTGTTTGTATTTGTCTTTTTCTTTTTCTGTTCCTGTTTCTGTGTCTTTCGTTCCATTGGATTGGCGGTTTGCATTAAATCAGTGTCCTCAGGAAACGTTTTTCGACCCAACCAGTTTTGCGGGCAACTCTTACGAACCAGTTTCTGACTTGGATGGGCAGTGAAAAGAATGACCCAACCAGTTTTGGGCAACTCCTTTGCACCGTCCGCACCCTCCGCGCTGTCCGTCCACCTCGCGCCTCTCTCGGGAGTTTCCGTCGAGAAGACGAGTCGACGCGAGGAGCACGGCGCGGCCATGGCCATCTTGAACGGCGCCACGGCCATCTTTCAGATCGTCGGCCTGGCTGCCATCACGGCCCCGCGGACGTGTTGTTCCGTTTTTTCAAAACATCGGATGGCTGGCCGAGATGTTGGTGTCACCGAAGAAGTGATGTGGGTTGCAAGGTTCTAACACCTGACCCAGTTGCCTAATGGGTAAGGCGTTGCCGATTCTGCTTTGCAGAAGGTGGTTTACGCTTGGCCCACGTGGCCGAGCGCAAGCGGGTTCAGAGCTTAACACGTGCAGGTGATTTGTCTTTTGATTTCCTGTTAAACCAATGCCAAAAAGGGCACGCCCCCTCTTGCACTCTGGTTCGATCGAGGCCTCGGTGGGTCTCTTGGCTTCCGTTATGCTGAACACGGATCAGTACCAGAACATCTACAGCAGCTCTTACCTGCCCAACCCGGGCGCGGCGAGACTCGTACGAATCCAACGTGGATGGGCCATGTCCACACCGATCGGCACCAGTTGGTATGGTTTCTCAGAGGACAAGTTCTTGCTTTGCCAAAAGTGCTGATTTCTTCGGTTTTATCGAGGTCTTGTTTGTTTTTGGTTTTCCCTCAGCTCGTTTTCTCGTTTTTGCTGCTTTATCCCTGCAATACAACAAACAAACTCGTGCTTTTGTTGTTGTTCTTTCGAGAATGCCAGAAGGCGAAAACAAAATAAAGGTGTTTGAATGGACAAAGCTACAAGATCCAAACAAACTGTGGGAAAACCAGCAGAACAGAACACAACTCGAGAAAACCAAGCATTGTTTTTGTTAATCCCTGTTTCGGGCAGTTGGTACTGCCATGATTGCCATTTTGGATCCACAGTGAAGGGGTGTGACCTTCCTGCACATTTTTTTAGAGTGAGCCGATGTCATGCACCAACTTGGGTGTGTTTCCTGACAACCTCTTCTTTCAAGCACGCTTTGAGAAAGTCAGGATTTCACGGCCTTTGTCATCAGGGTGCTCCATTCAGCACACGTCAACTCCTTATAAAGCTTCTTGCAAAGCTCCTTCTGAAGCTCACTTGCGCAATTAGCTTGTAAGACTTCTTGCAGAGCTTCACACAAAGCTCTTTAAAAGTCACCCTAGACAGCTCCGCAACAAAGAGGTCATTCCCTGCTGAGCACCAGCAGGGAAGCTTGATTTTGTGCCTGTGTGTGTGTGTGTCATCCTTTTTGGAGGGTACCCCTTTAGAGTGGTTTTAAAGGGACGCCAAAAGACCGTTTGCCGTTTTTGGGTGTATATAATCGTTTTGTTTGTCTCCTTGCAAGGCTCTTCGACAGGCTTCTTGTACCATTCCTTTAAATTGCTTTTTGTAAAATGCTCTTGGAGCTCCTTTGAAGGCAAGGCTACTTGAGCAGCTGCTTTTGACCTGCTTTCAAAGCTCCTGTTAAAGCTCCCGGACAAACTCCTTATACCAAACTGGGATAACCACAATTCAAGAAAGAACTTAATAGGTAAGATTCAACTAGAAGTTCTATTTTGAATGATAATTTCAGGGGGAGTTCCTTTCCACATATGATGCGAAATTAACATGAACTAGTTGAATATAGAAATACTTCTGTTCGAACTGTCTTCTTGTTGACTTTGAATCATATATCCATTCCATGAATACAACTTAACAAGGAATAGTTCAACAATGATTGCCATGTCAAGTAGAATGCAATTGTAGTAAGATTTAGCTTGCCATTGAATTGCAATTGTGATAGAATCGAAGAAGGGAAGATATGCATATGAATGTCTATTCTAATTTTGAATTTCAGGAGGCCAACTCAAAGTTAATTGCAATGCAAATGGAATTCGAATGTCGATTTCGATTGAGAATTTAAGTGCGAACTCCATTCCAAGCAGGACTTAATCGCAGTGAATGGAATTCGACAAGTCTCCACACATGCTTTAGCATTCTGGCTACACACTTTGCTACAGAGGTAGATGATGGGGCATTTATATATAAATACAAATGTACATATATGTCTATATACGAGGTCCCCCAGTAGTGCCCTTTTACCCTTTTTTTGGGGAAGGTTCCCCTACTAAAATAGACTACTGAAAAAAAGGTACCCTTCTTCTAAGTTCTCTACTGGACTTAGTATATACACACGTAGGGTTCATCTATCCAGGCGCACTGACTTCATGCACAATTCACTTCCACGCTACCTCAGAGACCCAAGGGGCCACAGGGAGAATGGGATGGCTGTTGATTTGTTCAAAGCGTCACGAGACTCGCGGATGCGCCGCGCGGTTTTGGGCCTCCCAGTGAAGGGTTCCCCGCTTCAGAAAATTTGGGGTTCCTTCCGTCAATCAGGGTCAGAGACGTCTGGGGCAGGTTTTGGTGGGATTGGGTTTCTTGTGGTACGCTTGAGCCCCTCCAAGCCTTTATTTTCACCCCCAAGTTTTACCCACAACTCAGGACTAAACAGAGCATCTGCTCTGTTTCCACCACAAGCCCACAGCCAACCTTTTTTGAGGGGACCAACCCCTACTCGCGTTTGACGATCCGGGCAAGCCCCCATTGAACCCATCGGAGCCGGCCAAATTTTTCCTCGGGTGTTCTCTTTCGAGGATCGCGGTGTGCTGCATCCTGGCCTTCATCGTGGCCTGGTCCTTCATGGCCATCTTCGACATGACCAGCGACACGCTGCTCATCTGCCACGCCGAGGACGGCCTCTGAAAAAATTGGAGGTTCTTGATTGGGTTTTTGTTTGGGTTGCTACATTGAGAGGGGGTCTTCGGTTTGACAACCAACGACGAGGCAGGACAAGATGAAATTTCCATGCACCGGCCCAGTTTTGAATGTGAGTCCAGAACCAAAAACTGGATCACTTTTTGGCACCGGGCAGCCGGCCGGCTGCTGGTCCGGATCCTACCACTGACGTTGGTCGAGCGGGCCGCTCCACAAACCTGTTACATGGTACGCGCGCCAATTAAGTATTCCTAATGTTTGCCCGGATTAATTTGCCTGTGTTTGTACTTGTTTTGGCCAGTCGTTTTTTACCCGGATTTTTTTGCAGCAAACAATGCCACATTTGAGGACCCCAAAACAGTCACAAGATCCTGAATTGCGAGACACAGGCTACAATAGAGGGTGCTTTTCCAATTGGGGGTCTAACGTTTTGCGCTGGCTCCAGTGCACTCGCTCAGCACTGCGCCTGCGCCTGCGACATGGTAAGCGCCCGCTCAAGCGCACGCTCTCAGCACTGCAATCGCGCCTGCCAATTGGTAGCCTGCTCAAATCCAAGTGCGCCTGCTCAGCGCTGCACACAAGCCTACCAAACCGGAAAGCGCGCCCGCTCAAGTGCACCCAAGCCCCGCGCGCACGCCGGCCAAACGTACGCGCGGCGTGGTTGCGGCAGTTGTTTGCTTGGGCTGCTGTGTGGTTGTGTGGCTATGGTTGCCGTTGCCGCTGTCGCTGTCGTTGTCCTTTTCGTCATCGTCGGCGTCGTTGTTGTCGTTGTGGTCGTCTGGCCTTCAGCTCCTCGCGGGCCCCTAGCTTCGCGGGCCAGCGGACCCGCAAGGCCACCGGGCGCCGCCCAGTCTCCGCCACCTGTTCACACAACTACTAACAGTCCACTCTTATTATGGCTTGTAGACCACAACCCCACGCTAAAAATTCATTGAGGCCCTTATATCACTCTCTTGGACAGCATGAAACCACCCTTTTTTTCGCGAAAGCATTGCGCAGGGTTCTTTCGGCAGGGTTCTTTCGATGAAATCGCCAGCAGCCACACAGCACGCAGCGCAAGATGCACGAGAGCGTGCAGAGCAAGTAGCGCAAGAATCGCCTGCACAGCAAGTATCACGAGGAAGTAGCACGAGAGCACGCGCAGAGCAACGTGCGCAAGTGAACGCGCAAGTCAACTAGCACGAGAGCAAAAGCAGAGCAAGTAGCGCGAGCAAGTAGCTCAAGAGCACGCGCAGGTCAAAATGCGCAAGGGGACACGCAGAGCCAGGCCTTGCAAGTAGCGCGAGAGCGCATGCAGAGCAAGAAGCTTGAGGCAAGCGAGCAGCAAATTGCGCGATAGAACCTGCGCAACGCATTGCGCGGTCGCGTGAACTTGCACGAAAAAGCTTGCGTGAGACATCTTGCCAGATCGCGCGAGACCTTCTTGCACGAGAAATGTGGGCCCGAAACTGAAGGGTGGGACCAACCCCACTCTGCGAAGATGACCCTCTGCGGGGATTGGCGTGGTACTTTTTAACATGCTTGCACGACCCTCTCAGGGGATCGGTGTGGTCGACGAGCAAAGCTGAGGACTTCCAGACTTTCTTCTTTGCGTCGCAGCGTGGTCGACGTGCAACTTTTTGTGGCATATAAGAATGGAGAACAACCCCTTGCTTGCACAGATCAACTTGCACAGAGAGAGAGAGATATATATATATATATATATATAGAGAGAGAGAGAGAGAGCCGCGCAGAGAACTTGCACATAGCAACCTGCACGGAGCACTTCCGCAGAGAAACATGCGCCGAGAGCCCGCCCGGAGAAACTTGCAACGATAACTTGCGCGGAAAAGCTTGCAAAGAGAGACTTGCGGAGATAGCTTGTGCAGAGAAGCTTGCGTCGTGAAGTTACGCGGGAGATCTTGCGCAGGGAACTTGCGCAAAGAAGTTCGAATGGAGTTCTTGTGCAGAGAAAATTGCACGGCAAATTTGCACAGCCGCCACTCGCACACAGAACTTGCTCGCATAACTTGCGTAGAGAAACTTGCACAGAGATCTTGCGCCGAGAAACTGAGATATGTTTGCAGCTACGACTCGGAAATTCACAACATTGAAGCATTCCCACAGAAGGACACACACACACACACACACGAACACGTCTACGGCATAGAACGTACGCATGAACACACAGATGCCTTGATATGCGGCATGCGTGAACATGTCGTGCGCGCAAACAAGAATACGTGTGGCATCACATGCCGCGCTCACTATAGATCACATGCCACCCGTTCTTTTTTTTTGGGGCGTGTTCCTCTATACCCATCAGATGGTCACGGGGGTCGAGAGCCTCAGTATCAAAGGGGCCATCACACCCGGCGCCCAGCGAGGATATGGCGAACCCGTACGGGGCCAAGTACAATGACAACAACAAGGAGAGATCGACTGACTGGGTTTAGCGGAGGGAAGGAAGCACAAGTGGAAAAAAGGCCAGGCTCCGAATATTTGATGGGGTTGCTGAGGCATTCTTTACGGTTGAACGCCGACCAAGTAAACCCGTGTGGTCTCTTAGTTGGGTTCCTTCCGTTGGTTTTGTATTTGTTCTTGTTTCGCTTTTCGCATGCCCAGGAGTTTGCGGAGATTTACGCAAAGGCGGAGGAGAAGGCGAAAGAAATGGCGGCCGCCAACGCCACTTCCTCGGAGGAGGAACAACCCCATTACCGCTACTCCAGGAACAAGAAGTGAGGCCGACATGGCGGCGTTCGCCTTAACGGCCCTGGCCGAACAAGCCGAGACCTCCGGTGGAGACATCCCAATCGTGATTTTGGAGGGTGGGCCTTTTCAGCAGCAACGAAGGGCGCCCTTCCCTCGGGAATCCGCAGGAGGTCCGGCCTTATAAGCCTGAAAATCTCAGGCACTCGGCCGAAAGCTGAGGTCGTGTTTCAACCCCGATTTCGGGCCCCACACCCCAGACGGGCGTCAGGGATGGCGGCTGGACTGCCATCCTTGTGTTTTGTTTCGGGGATTAGACCTCAAATGGGCAGAGCTTCGACTGTTGAAGACTTAATTTACACACCCGCCTGCATCGGATGATTGGTCAAACAGCTCGTGTACGCTTCGACTTCTTGCAAAGGGATTGCTCTGCGCGCGCGCGTCCTCAGTAGAGTAAGCAGAAGGCTTCCGACGTGCGGGTCCCGACACCCGCCCAAAATCGGCGAGACACGGGTGCATGGCTGCGTGGTTCGTTGAAGATACTTGCAGGTTGTGGTTTACGTCGCAGGTTTTGGGCGCAGCAAATGTACGGCTCAGACGCAGTTTTCCACGCGAAAAGAGGCGCGATGGAAGCGGGAGGAAAGGGATGCAGCTACCCTCACCGAAAAGGAGTCTGCTTGAATTGTTTTGGTTTCCGTGGGCGATGCTGGACACAGCAGTTCATTGCCTAGGGTCAGAAGGCATCGTCATCAACACGCTGGATCATGCGTGTCCATTCTGCAGGCAGGCAGTGGGCGTAGGCATTTATGACAATTGTTGTCAAGCATCTTAAGGTAGGCGTGTTCTAAAACCGTTTGTTTTTCCCAACATCTGGTTCAGCTTGGAGTGGAGGGGCGGGGGTGCAGGATTCTTCTGATTCCTCGGTGCTTAAGCAAAATTAGGCTCCAAGAGGTTTTGAAGCTCTCGACTCTCAACTACTTTTTTGAAGCATTCTTCCTACTCCTCTTCCTGCGTGTTCGAACCGTTTGTTTCGGTAATAGTCTAAGGGTAGCTTGCGCATGGTTTCCAGGGATCCTTCTCTCTGGAAAACCACAAAACACCAGGGGAAACAGCTGGTTTTCGAAAAGTATGGTTGAAAAGAATGGTTGGAAGCAACCCCCAGACAAGTCGATGTTTGAGCCACGGCCGAAACCGTTGAGCTTGTCTCTCACGGCTCTCCGAGGCGCAGTCCGGATGGAGCTGACGGCTCACCGGGGCGCAGGTGAGAGTCGTCGTACTCGAGTGGTCCATTTTGATGAGGATCGTTCCCAAATCCTTGTGGCTTTCCTGGCTGTGGCTCAGATAAAGGTTGACTAACACCTGCGTAACCCTATCTCTCAAATAACAGATCAGCAGCCTCTTTTGGCTTCCCACTGGGTTTTGCCTCAAAATGGCGGGGGGGGGGGATCTCCCCCAAATGGGATTTTCTTTTGGTTTCTCCACAGGAAACCTACCAGCAAGTACGAACTAGCCGTTCCTACAAGGGCTCTCCAATCTCTTCAGTTCTTTTTCGGTATCTATGCTGGGTTTCAGGAGGCTTTTGGATCTCTTTTGAACTTTTGCATTTTACGAGTCAATCAGCACGGACCTCCTAGGAAAAAAGGGCAGCGTTCGCAGAGCGCTTTGTTCTAGCAGGCCAAGATTCTATTAGCACAGAGGGATTTCTTCTCACCGAAAGCGCCACAAAGGCCTTGTCCTTGTTGACCTTTGCTAGGGTTGGCTCCAGTAGCCTGGGTCTAATTGAGGCGCACTTTTCGCTGCAGGCAAAAGTAGCGGAAGTTGTTCAGTGTTTGGTGGGCTGGGGTGAGCCAACAGAAATGGTTTCCTTGTCTCTACGGTCGGGTCACTCAGGCTTGCATGTAAGCCAACGAGACTAGGACCTTCAACCTCAACTGGAATGGAACCCAGTTGAAGCAGACACCCTTGATTTTGGCCTGGGGTCATCATAAACCGGAGCTGGTTGATTTTGGGGATGACCCATAGCACCCCTCGTCTGCCAGGTTGCGCTTTCCGGAGCCCAGCGAAGAGACGAAGACGAAAAAACCGCGGTTCGCAGCGAGCCGGCGGTCCGATAGTCCGATGCGGGGTGCGCGTTCCTCCGCGGGTTTTCCCCCTTTTTGTTTGGGGGGATCCACAGGAATGGGCTCTAACAGGGGAGCCCCGACAATGGGGCAAACAGTTTTCCGCTAGGGTTTTCCCGTTTGAAGTCCTTCAGAGACTTACACCGTCTGGTTGAAAAAGGGGGTTTTGATCGTTCGGGCTGAAACTGAACTAGGGAATGGTTCTGAGTTTGAAGGCTGAAACGGAGAATTGTTCTGATTTAAACACTTTGCAGGAGTTCCTTGATGAGTTTCCGGGCTTCTAATAGTGAATTATTCTGAGTCGGACACTTTTCAGGAGTTCCATCAGCATGATTCAGTTTCGGAGATGCAGACGGACTCCCTCGGCCAAATTCCGAACCGATCCGAAAGCTTGGATGGGCCGTTTTCTGGCAGCCGCCTTTTGGAGGGTTGGTTTAAAGAGAAGCCAACAGTAAGCCACCCATTTTTGAGGGTTCCCCAAAACGATAGGTGTCCAAGCCCAGGTTTGTTTGAAAGTCCTTTTGTTCTGGTTCCTGTTCCCAGCGGAACCCACCGTTCCAAAACGACAGAATTTGGGGTGTGACCACAGGTGATTGTTTTGCTCGAAAATAGATGGCGAATGCAGGATCCATGTATTTTCAACCAAAGGGACGCGTCTTCGTAAAGGTTGTTCTTTACATTAGCCACAATCAAAACCCGGGTAGATGAAGATGGGTAAGGATAGTGCTCCTTTTAAACTCTGCACATGGTTCTGGGTAGACCATTTTAATTTAAGCCATAATCAAAACCCGGGTAGATGACGGTTAGTAAGGGACAAATCCAACCAGACATAGCTGCGGCTGCCTTTTTAGTTCTTTACATGGTTTTGGGATTACGACCATTTTAATACCTGGTTTTGATTATGACTCTGGTTTTCTTTGTCACTCACATCAGGTCTGTTAAACCCCCCACCAAATTTCAAGGGATGGCCCGCCTGCCCCGGTTTGTATTGAGATCCCCAGGCCCAACGACTCCGGACAAGACGTAGTTGCGTTTTTGTGGGACCCCTGTTTTGTGGGATGAACCGTTTGGGATCCCTTGAAAGGAAGTTACAGTCTATGGGGAGTCATTCCCTCATTCCCTGCCCATTGAACCAGCAAGTCAAGACATCTAAGCAGGGTTCCGTTTGTTGATTACGCCAAGGAAGACTTAACCCCAGTGGTTTAGTTGCACAAACCGCCTGGGTTTAAGTTTTTGCGCTCAAGTATCGACTTTGGAAATCGCGGCCAGCTGCTAGTTGCAACGGTAGAGCTCGCAGTGTGCCCCAGCGCAGCTCCAGCTTGCAAATCACCACCTTTCAGTGTAAAATTAGGATGTGAAGTACTCTCCGCCAACTCCTCCTCGCACATGGCAACTGAGGATTTTGTTGTTATTTCTTCTTTTTTACAAGGTAAAGAGCGAACCGCGCAATCTCTAATACTGGACCGTGAAGTCATCCAAAACCACAGCATTTGCACGGTTGCTCGCCAAGGTCCTGGTCGCAATTCACGCGTTTTGGTTGTTCTTTAACCCGCCCGCCTCGGGTTTCATTGGGGCACAAGCAAGGAACTCTGGCTTCGGTCGACTGCCCGACTTGCTCTCACGCGGCTCAAGCTCCGACACTCTCATTGAGAGATCCAAGTTGTGGTCAGCCTTCGCCCCAGTCCAGTGGGGTGCGGAGTGACCTTTCCCGCAGCAACATGATTGATGGAAAGAGGGCAGCTCTTCTTGTGGGAGCTCCTTTCGCGTTCTTTCAATTGATTTGACGGACATATTCTTTTGAGCGTCGCCGTTTTTTTTTTTTTGAATTTGGTGAAAGGTGGTTGGTTTTTTTCTTCTGTATTTAACGCACAAAAAGTTGAGCAGACTTTTAGCAGGGCTTTTAGGATCTTCTTGGTCTCGTGTTTGTTTTGGTGCTGCGGTTTTGATTTGCGCCCCGCACAGGGATCTCCCCTTTTAGGCTCGACGAAAGAAATTGTCGAGGACAGCCAGGAAGTTTAGTTCATAATTGGAACCCCGCATCAATAAACCCCTGTTTGTTAATAAGGGGGTGGAGCCCCCTCCAAAAGTGATGAATTCGTTCCCCATCATTTCAGCCAGGCACACCCTCCTATTAATTAGCCGGGGTTGATGAACATATGGGGTCAGCATGACTCAACCCACCGATTCCGCAGGACGATTTGAGAAATTAATCTTCGAACTTTTGACTTTTCGAACTCAGCCCTCGAAGACAATGCGTCACGTGTGGCGATTTTGGCCTCGACTGAAATGGCACCAGTCCAGGTAGGGAGCCATGAGAACCCATTCAAGTCTTCACAAGTTCCAGGGGCTTCCGGGTAACGGACCCTCTTGTTGTCTTTTTTTTTTTCTGCATCGGCGAGGTCTTGAATCGCAGGCTGCCTGCGGTTCAGGGTGATTTGGAATGCAAGGGTTACGGGCTGGTTGCAATACCCCTTGGCCGGTTGAAAGGGACCAAGAGGAGGGTGTTCAACGATTTGTGGTTCAAGCATGTTGTTTGGGCCCAGAAAAACCTGAACGGAAAATGGTGGGGGGGGTTGCGGTGCAAAGAAAGGCAGGTTCGGGGTTGGACAAACCGAAGTTCTGAAATCTCCCGGGGCTGGCAACTTTTCTGCCCGCCGAGGTTCAACTTTTCTTGGCGCAGGCGCGGCGATTCCCGCAAGAAGCGGGGGGAGTGAAGAAAGGTTGGCTCGCTTTGCTACCATCCAACAAACCTGGAGCCGCCTCCCAAGTTAAATATGCTTCAGGGTTGATTATAGAGAATCTGGAGCCGCCTCACAAGTTAAATATGCTTCTGGGTTGATTCAACAGAATCTGGAGCCGCCTTTCAATTTAAATATGCTTCTGGGTTGATTAGACAGAATCTGGAGCCGTCTCAAGTTACACATGCTTCAGCGTTGATTAGACAGAATCTGGAGTCGCCTCCCAAGTTAAATATGTTTCAGGGTTGATTGGACAGAATCTGGAGCCGCCTCCCAAGTTAAATATGCTTCAGGGTTCATTAGACAAAAATCTGGAGACGTCTCAAGTTACATATGCTTCAGCGTTGATTAGACAGAATCTGGAGTCGCCTCCCAACTCAAATATGTTTCAGGGATGATTGGACAGAATCTGGAGCCGCCTCCCAAGTTAAATATGCTTCAGGGTTGATTAGACAGAATTTGGAGCCGCCTCCCAAGTTAAATATGCTTCAGGGTTGATTAGACAGAATCTGGAGCCGCCTCCCAAGTTAAATATGCTTCAGGGTTGATTATAGAGAATCTGGAGCTGCCTCCCAAGTTACATAAGCTTCAGGGTTGATTTGAAGCCGCCTCCCAAGTAAATTATGCTCTAGGGTTTTGAATCGGTATGCTTTTCTTTGTACTTTGGATAGGGGCCAACCATGAAGTTTGCGGACTTCTGCAAGACGACTTTCTTTTTGGACAAAGAGTTTTGAGAGGGAGCCAGTTGAGACAGGAAAGACAGCAGGGAAACTTCTCAAGATGGATTTCGGGGCTCGTTTTGGTTGGTATTTACGGGTAAGCCAAAGGGACACCAAGGGAAAATGGACCGATTCCAATTTCGAACCCACAATGCCTGGGAGAATCAATGCTTCATGTGTGGGGGGGGTTTATCACATTCGGCTTCCTTTTAGGGAATTCCTTGGTTTTCTTTCGGAGTCGTAGAGCAGAAGATTTCCGGATTAGCTGCTTGAGGCATTGCTATCGTGGCGGGATATTCTTTCTGGAAGCCTGAGATTCAGCGAGTCCGTCCGTGCCAAGCAGAGCTTCAATTCGGAGGTTGCCAGATTCAGAAGGATACCGCGGACGATTTGCCTCTCCGAGATTCGAGACGCGTGTCTCTGAAAATTGGGGACCCCAAAGAAGGTGGGTGGTTTTGTTTTGGTTTCCTCTTATAAAACCATCCGATTTTTTCCAAAGAACGGTACCCCTTATTTCGAGAAACACCCAGACACTGGCACTGGCAATTCTCACCACCCCATGGCTGGGTCCCTGCGTGGCTCCCGTGGAGTTGCTCACCAAGAACCCGGCAGACATGGTGTTGCCTGCTTGAAGGAAGATGGGCTCTACGAACTCAAGATCCGGGCTTTCCAGTAGTTTCCCTCACTATGAACCCCAGTTTACGGGGCGCCAACTGCGAAAAGAGGCGCAGGCGCATAAATTTATGAATGTTTTGGGACCCACTTTCTTCGGATCAGCTAGTTCAGAATGACGTTTGGCCAACTGCGTTCTTTTAAAATGCTGCCCTTGGGGGTTTTACTGTACAGGTCATGAGGAGGCTTTCGCCCTTTTGGGGCGCGGCTTCTGCCCGAAAAGTAAAAGGCATGGTAAAGACTCGTTGAGACACTGTAAGGGCCTAAACAATCAGAAAGGGGTTTTAGGGTATTGTAAAGCCAAATCTAAACGATTAGGTGATTTTTTTTTTGCGCCCCTTATGTGAGTGTTCTCGAAATCCAGATCGGTTTCCTTTTGGATTTCTTGCCAAACCATCCAACGTGATTCCGCATCTTGAGATGTGGCTTCTCAGAACCTGCGAAGCGCCGATAAGACTCAACCTGTTCAAAGCAGCAAGGGCCGACGCGGAGGAGCTGAACTGCAACTGTGGATGACCCGACTCTGAGGTGCTTGATTGAACTGATGTTTCTTATTGCCGTCCAGTCGGAAAGGGGGGGGTGTTTCTCTTGAACCTTCGACTTGAAGGGTGACGCTGATGATGCACGAACAATCACGATCAACCCAGATTGGTTTAAAGGGGAAAAGGACGTCGGACCCTCATCAGTGCGAGCTCGGCTGGCTCGGCATCATTTGTTTGAGGCTTGGTGCCCTGTTTGCTTTCAAGGGAAACCAAAAGGAAAGCCCAGCCATTTTGGGTTTTCCCCTAGAATTAGAACTGTTTTTTTTTTTTTTCTCCCTGAACTGAGATCGATCAAGTGAAGCTTTCACGATAGTATCATGCCTCTTTCTTTCCCTGCCCCTGAGACATGTGTTGGTTTTGTTTCGCCGGTTTGGGCTCCTTTGTCCCACAATGCCTCATCTCTCTGTGTCCACTCGGTTATCTCCAGCCGCAGACACCATGTGAGTCGCAATAAACAAAACAAAAAACAAGTAGCTGAAGGTTCAAAAGGGGACAGTCTCAGCAATGAAGATAGGCGCTGCCGCCTTCTCGAATCTTTACATGATTGCGGGTAGACCCCTTTGGTTCCAGATTTGCTCGCCGTAAGGCGAAAGCGTGCACCGCGAGCGCAGGTCATTCCCTTTTTGCCAAGATGATTCGTATCCTCAGCGGGAAAGCCCAGCGAGTGGGAGGGGATGCTGATGAACATGCTTGGTGGCTCCCGTCCCTTAGCGCCTTTTAGTTGGTGGTTGGTGTAGTGGTTGGGTTTTTGCATTTAACCCACTAAAAGTTAGTCACTTTTAGCAGGGGATCTGAGGACAAGCATGGTTCGCAAGCAGTGTTGACAGTGTTGTCCTGTGAATGGAGGCCCTCCGAAGGTGATGAACCCCCTCGAAAAGGGGACCCGCCCCATTTATCAACCAGACGTTCCGCTGAATCCGGGGTCCAACCAATTCATCCGGCAGAGGAACCCCCCGGAAACAGACAACTTTCTTCCTCTTTGGGACCAGTTGATAGGCTCCAAGACTAAACGTGCACTTTCGGCTATGCCATACATGTTGCCAATAAAGTGTACCCTGATCCGAACAATGCACCTCTATCCAACGCGAGCATAAAATCATGACAAAGAAATCAGTAGAATCTCGCCGGGCGGGTTTTGGCGCGTCGAAATTAAGATCAATGTCGTCTTCGCTCCAAACTGCTCAATCCATTCGTTAGCGACCCGAGGCGGAAATGCTCCTGCGGACCCAAGTGTGAAAGCAGAATGTGGGTATGGGTCAAAAGTAAGCCAACAGGGGACCACAGGTTTTAGTCTATGTTTCCATCTGCCAGGGTTCCATTTCGGGTCCTATTTTTGACCCACAGCCATGTCATAAAACCTTGTTCGGCCCTTCTGTTGAAGCCTGGGGCTGGCAGTGCCAGCCCTTCCGGGTAATTTGGACAAAGGGAAAACCAGCGTTCGGGACAAGTAAAGCGCTGCTCTCAGCTGGCGCTGACCCACGCCAGCCTATTTTCTGGTGCAAGTGGACAACCAATTAGAAGGGGCGGAAGGCGGGTGGACCACTCCAATGGGTCAAAAAATTAGGGGCCTCTTTGGGAATCCCTTCAAAAGGCCCTTGGGTTGCACAAGGAGCCACAGCTCGTGTGACAACTCCCCCCTGAGCCGCAGCTCACAAAGTCTCGTCTCCGCCAATCCGCGGGTTGAGAAAGAAAGTCGGATCGGAGCAGGTGTCCTCGCTGTTGCGGCAGTTGCCACTTGGCTGGTTCTTGGTTTTTTTGGGGGCTGGGATGGGTTTGTCAAGGGGGTACAGTCAGGTAAGCCTTGGTTGCCGGTTTGGGTTGGTGGGAACTGGGGAGTTGAACCCCTGGCTTTTGTGGAGGGCACAGAGGAATGCAGCCCCTGGAATGGGCCATGGTTTCCGCGTTCCCCAAACCAACCCTCAAGAAACGACACTCAATGTAGTCTTTCCTTCAAGCATGCGTTCCTCTCAACCTCCGGGTGGCGATAAAGTGCACAAGGGTGCCATGTTTCAATCTCCAAGGGAAGACAACCAGCTGGGCAGTGCACCAGCTTAGGGAACGCCACTTCTGGGCCTTGCATCAATCTGCCTTTTTGGGAGCTCACCGATCCACTAAGAAAGTTCCTTGCGAAGTTTTCCAAAGGCGTTCTTCCTGCAATGTACGTATTGTTTGTTGGGATGTGCGCTGTTGTGCGTATTTTTTGCGGGCGTTTGCAGCCATGTGCTGGCATTTTTCGCTGAGGCGCTTATTTCAACGGGCGTTGCGTTGTCAACTCAGTCAACAACAGAAACTGCAAGAGAAAGTGGTCCTCCTTGCAACGTGGATCGATGCGCCTTTCTTTTTTCTTTTTCTTATCGAAGCCTTACTTGGCTGGTCTTTGACGCAAGACCGGTGGGGCACGGGGCGTGGGTTTTTTGGGGGGAGGTCCCCAGGCGCTGGGACCTTTGGACCTTTCAAAGTGGCAAGGCCGACTCACTCGGGACTCCCGACTCGCAGGCAGTGCGTGAGGAGCTGAGCTCTCTGGTGGAGGTAGAGGTGGACGAGGATCGAGTTGTGCACCGGTTGCAACCGAAAGGCCCCCCCCCTAATCTAGTTTTTGCTAAACATGTGATTCCTTTGGGAGAACTGGGAATCTTTTTTTTTCCCTTTTTGTTTTTGACATGTGATTCTTTTGGGAGAACCGGGTTGTCCAGGGTTTGGATACCTCCTGTTTCAGAGGGTGGACATGATAACCTCAAAACCGCGGGCATTTGGAGTAGGGGGTAAGGTAAATGCAAGGAGAACAACAGGGCAGGTGCACTGTTTTCTCTCTCCCATTTGGAGACAAAGCCGTGGCTGCCATGGTGGAGTGGTCATTTGACCTGGCCCGGGGTCGTTTGGGTCGTTTGGGTCGAATGGCTTTTGAGGATTCCATGCTGGTTGCCTCAAAAGCAATGAATTTATTTGCAGGTTTTCGTCTTCTCCATATGCCAAGGTGAGCCAGGTCTCCTCAGAAAGGCAAGGGGTCCAGTGTCATGCGTCCTTTTGCGTCCTTCTTTTTGGGCGCCTAGAAGAAGATTTGTTGTGTAAGGTGCCATTTTTGTACGTGTTTTTTGAGCCACAGCCAGGTATCCTCAAAGGCAAAGCAACACCACACCCAGATCTCTTGTTTCCCTTTCGTTCCCGTTTCGGGCGACCTGATCGATCGCAGGAGATGAAGCTGGTGCCTGCGAAGATCAGCAAGGCGGGGCCCCGAAACGGCAACACGCGCAAAGTTTGAGGGTGCAAAGCCTGGACATAAGAGTGTGAGTTCTTTTTCAGGTGCCCGGGTACCCTGTTTGGCTTGGTTTTGAAGATTTGGTTGGTTTTGGAAAGAACTCCGGAACCCTCCGGAACCCTCCCTGGCTGCCCCGAACCACCCTATAGCCTATTTAGGGTCTATCAACCCCATAGCTTCCAGCTATGGGGGGAAAAATAAACAAAGACACCCAGCATATGGTCGCCCCTTTTTTGACACATCACATTTTTGGGCAGATGGTTCCCCTAGAGAAAGATAGACCATGAGTTCGATGATGAAACAAGAAGCTGCTTTCACAAAAGCAGAATCATAGAATAATGAATCCGGAAAGCTAGCATACCTCAAAGGGGTCCTCCAAAGAAGATTCCAAGTGGGTTGCGAGCGGCTCTTTTCCGTGCAAAGTCATTTGGGGAGATGAGCCGGTTCGTTCGATACCGGTCTTGGATCTCTTGCTAGAATAATTCGGATGGTCGGGGAACCCTCAAAGAAGCTTAGTGATATACCCTCCCTTCCACTAACTTGGCAAGGATGTTTCTAGAGGAAATTCATTTTCCAGGTGGAGGGAGGGTAAGTTTTCATGTGGGTGTGTGCTTTTTAGGTGAACCCCGAAAGATGGTGGTCTTCCTTTTAGTTTCCCTTTAAACCCATCAAACAAGTGTACCAAAGAAAAGACGAGATACCCATGTCATTCTGATGTCCTCAATTGGTCCCCAATTGAAGCTCAGGGGAGCGAAAGAAATGCTTCTAGGCCTCTTTGTTTGTAGTTCTTGTTGGTCTGATTCTTATGAGGGTACGGGTACCATTCTTATGCTTGGTAAAGGGACAACCCAACATGTCATTTTGGTTCACAGTCTAAAGAAGAAGGCATGCCACCCATGTTCCACCATGGTTGGTTGTGTGGATATGGGTAGGCTGTGTCTCAAAATGGGGTTCCAGAGTCCTTGAAACGGGTGGTTTCCCTTTTAACTCTCCAAAAAGGTACCCTCAAAATTGAGACCGCACCCAGGTGTTTCCTTTCGGTTTCCTCTAACCCTGAGAACATGCTCGTATATATCTATATAATATATATATATATGATATATATATATATATGATATATATTATATATACCACATAGACCTTGCTAGTTGAACACGCCGTGATGTCTCGTTGTCACGTCCAATGCCGGAGCGTGCACGGGCACCGCTTCCGTGTTCGAAGGTATACCGTCGTTGGTTCTTGTTTTGGGAAGTGCCGGTATCCTTCCTGCCCACAAGAAACTCGCTGGTTCACTTCCCACATGCGGAGGACCATGAATTGGATCCTTTAATGGCGCCCATCCATATTTTTGATTCTAAGGGCATTGCTTGGATTGGGATACGACTTTGAGATTCTGCAGACAGATGTGGTGATATTTCCAGGCTTTTCCGCATTTCCTACACACAGCAGAGTGGGCCGGGATGGGTGACACGTGCCAATCTTGGGCCTTCACGCTCTTGCGGGTTGGAGAGTGGCGTCGACTTTCATTTTTTGGGTCTTATTTTACTTATGTGCATATATATATATATGTATTATTATCATCATTATTTATTATTTATTACGATTATCTATGCTATTATTTATTTGTTTATTATTATTTATTTTGTTATCTACTTTTTTTTGCTTTTAATTTATTTGTTATTATTATTATTATTAGTATTATTAGCGGTACTATTGCTATTATTATGAATATTGATATTAGTAGCATTGTCATTAGTATTATGGTTATTATTATTTTTGTTAATACTATTAATGTTATCATCATTATTACTATTATTGTTGTTGTCATCAGTATAATTAATTATTATTATTCTTATTGTAATTACGACTACTACTACTACTACTACTACTACTACTACTACTGCTGGTGCTGGTGCTGCTGCTGCTGCTGCTGCTACTACTACTACTACTACTACTACTACTACTACTACTACTACTGCTGCTGCTGCTGCTGCTGCTACTACGACTACTACTGTTATTTTTTGTTTGCTCGTTTGTTTGTTTGTTTGTTTGTTTGTTTGTTTGTTTGTCTATTTATTTATTTGTTTTATTGTTTTATTTGTTTTATTTTGTTTTTTTTGCCTAACCATCCTTAGGCTCGCTTGTCCAAACCAAACCACCAATCCCACCCACCAATTCGGGGGAAGCTGATTCAAGCTTCCAACAGGTCCTTCTACTTCCAATTGGGGGGAAGCTGATCCAAAAGGTGTTCAGCTTTTACCAACTGGGGGGAAGCTGATTCCAGGTCAACCAAAGGTGATACACCTTTTACCAATAAAGAGAAGACACTCCCCTTTATTTCCTCATGGGGGGCTTGGGGGGAGCGGGAGCCCAAACAAGGACTTAAGCCTTAAGAATGCCTTTGGGCGCCAAAAACCTCCCCAGCCTCCAGGCCCCCTCCCTCCCCCTCTCTCCACCTCCCTCCCCCCCGCTGCACAAATTTCAGCCACACCACCCCTCACCCCACCTCCAACTCCCCCTCCGCTCCCGCCCCCTCGCCCGCACCCAAACTCCACCTCACCCCACCTCAACCCACTTCCAACCCCCCAAATTTCCCCCTCCCCCCCGGTCCCCACCCCCCCTGTCAATCCATTCTGGGTACCTATTTTTGACCCACCTCCACCGACCACCCCACCCCCCAACTCCCCCAGCCACCGCGCCCCGCGCCCCGCAGGCCATCCGCAGCTCCATGCGCCGCACCGCGGAGGCGGTGAAGGTGGCAGAGGAGCACCTCGACCGGTCACATCCGGGGCCCCGTATTTTTTTTGAAGAAACCGTATTTATTGACTTATTTGATTACTTAGTTTGTCTATGTATTTATCTCTTTGATTCATTGTTTCATTTATTTGTTTATTTATTTGCTTGTTTGCCTATTGTTTTCCTAGTATATTTATCTATTAGTAGTTTATTGGTTAATCGTTTTTTTTTTTTTTTTGGGGGGGGGGGCGGGGAGGAGGGGGGCGGGATGGTCGGACTTGTTCAACTTTTTTCGTCCCGCGGGGGGGACTTGGCCGACCCGTGTCCGACTTGTCTGTTCTTTTTCGTGGGGGATTCCCCTCAAACTCCATCCGTTTTTTCAAAGTGGCCATGGGTTTTGAGGGTACCCACTTTTGGTTGGCTATTGACACCCCTGCCACTTTTGGGGATCCCCTATTTTGCGACGCTTTTTGCCGGTCAACGCGCAGGTGTGTGGTTTGTTTCCCTTGTGACCCAAAGGACCGACATGACCTTTTTGCCGGCGATTTCCATTTTCTCCGAAAGGCGATGTTTGTGTGGAAGGTCGACTTGCTAAGCCTTTTGTTGGGTGACAACTGGGGTTTTAGCCAACGATGCTACATGCAGCCAGCTGGTTCCTTGGTCTCAGTGAGGTTTTGGGAATGATGTGATTCCCAAGGAAGCCGCCGGTTGATGATTCAAAGGGGTCATTCTCTGGCCGATCGAAACAGGAAGGTATTGAAAATGGCCATTTCGGTGGAAAAATAAGGGAGCCTATGTTCAAACAGGACCAAAAGGAGTTGGATGAATTTCTGCTTTAGCTTCCCTTGAATCCGCAAGACCTTTTGGGCTTTTCTTGCCAATTATTTTGGTACCAAGGGCGGGGATCTTCATTTCGGTTCTCGGGAGGGCTCCGTTGGACTGTGCGGTGCGGTGCATGTAAGGTTCTTTCAAGTGGACTGGGAGTTGTTTTTTTTTTGGTCCAAGGGAAATGGACATCTTGGTATCCAAGTAGATTGGATTTGGCTTTGGTCGAAGATCTGGGTCCCTCTGCGTTTTGGATTCTCAAAGATACCTTCTGGGAGCCCCCATTCTCACAGCTGTAGTAAGTGTGTGTCTTGAACAAAATGGAGGACCCGTCCCCCCCGAAAAAGAAAAGCGTGCTTGACTAGCGGCAAATTGTAACGAGCTCACCGATGATGAAGGTCCTTTTGTGGGGTTCCCGAATTTCCCACGTTTCTGTTTTTCTTTGGCTAACCTTAGCCCTCTTTCCAACAATAGGGTGCTGAAAGCTTTGTCAAAGAAACGTCTTCCAAAGCTTGTTCGTGGTCGGAGGCATTAGGAAGGCCGTTACCGATCCTGTGTTTTCATCTTCTTGAACAGCCGAATCCGTTGTTTTCATCTTCTTGAACAGCCGAATCCGTTTTTTTTTTTTTTTTCAGTTCGATCGCTTCGATCGCGAGATTCGCCCATGGTCATTTGCCGGTTCTCTTGAGAAGTTTGGTGCCATTTGCCCTCAACATTTGCGAAATTTCGACCGAAATGCCCCTGCTGACATGTCCCTGCAGCACCCTGGCCCACGCTGCGCTCCCTTCCGCCATTCCTTTTTGTTTCTCCTTTTTCTTCTTCTTGTTTTAAGCGGAACACCTTTTGACCCCCACACACGGGGGAGGGGGTATTTTTGATTGGTGGTCTGGATTGGCGGTTTGGATTTGGAATTGACATGGGCAACCATGCCTGACCACCACCAAACCAGGAAAGCTGACTCAAGGTGTTATCAGGTCCTTCTATTTCCGCGAAGCTGGTTCAAGGTTCCTATGCCCCAAACCACTGATTCGGCTCCAACCCACTCGTTTTCCGAGGGAATCTGAACACCGAGCGCTTGGACACACACGCACACGAGATCTGGATGAGGCTCAAGCCACCCATTTTCATCGCACCCAACCAACCTCTGAAGCCGAGCCCCAACCGCAGGGAT